TTCTCCCCATCCTATCACCCCATCCCAAAAAGATCTACGAACAACATTATATATTTTATAGCACAGTATCGTACGATTAGAAAGAAAATAATGAATAGGATTAACTTTAACCTCATCATCATCGTTTAATCTCCATTCACCCTCCTTTGTAATATACGTTAGGATGGATCATTGATCTCAGATTAATGTCATTCATGTATACAGTATTTCTAAATTCATCGTTGAATCGATTTCTTAATTTTTTCTATTTTTTCTCTCTCTCTCTCTCTCTCTCTCTCTCCCTTTATTTTCTATCAAAACGATATACTTACGATATTCTTTCATTGCCTTTTTTTTTATATATATACATATATACATACGTATGTATATATTATAGAAGAAATTGAATGATCTATGAAAAACATTAACATCTTATCAAACAATATTCTACGATTGGTTAAGAACGTTAACGTTAATCCGAGTCATATTTAAGTGTTCTAACCACGCGGTTTAAAAGCCGTCTTCGTTGAACACGTGCGAATATCTTTGGTACTATCCCGCGAGAGTTACGAGTTACTTATGCAACCTGATAAAATATTGACTGTGGATAGTAACGCACACGACAAGGCGTGGTACCGATATTTACGATATCGTACTAGCATAGACATTTAATATAAATTCAAACGCCATTGAATTTTCGTAATAAAGATCATGATGAATTACGATACCATCGGTTATATATCTATAACCAACGGATCTATACTGTCATTATTAACAGTATTATTTTTTTTCTTAACGAACTACCTCTTGACGATCTTTATCGACGTAACATGAAATTTCACGCGAAATACAATCCCATTGGAGATCTTTTCTTTTCTTCTTTCTCTCTCTTTCTTTTTTTTTTTTATTACTCTTTTATACTTTTATTCTTTCGTCTTCCTCATTTTTTCCTCAAATAATAGAAATAATACGAATTTATTTATTGACTATAAATTAACTTTAATACGCTTTATCTATACATCGTCGATAAAGAAAAATTGTTTGGATTAATTTCGAGTTGATTGTTAAAAAAGAAAAGAAAAGAAAAGAAAAGAAAAGAATAGAAAAAAAAATAATAATAATAAAAAAAGAAGAAAAATAAACAAAGAGAAAAGAGAAAAAGAAAAAAAAAAAAGGAATATTAGAAAAGCTTCCGTTTCGATGTAATACGGTAACGCTTCGTAGATCATCGTATACGATACATTCGTTAATCGAGTGAAAATTTTTTCGTCGGTCATATCCCAACATTTTATTACAAAATTATTGTTTCTCTCTCTCTCTCTCTCTCTCCTTACCTCTTTCCCTTCCCATCGCGATCATCCTAGGATTCCTATTTTCCCTCATTTTTATTCGTTCAATACGATTACACTCTTACTTCGTTTCTCTTTCGATTCAATTGAAACCCGCATTGATTTACTAAGAAAATAAATAAATATAACAATACCTATGTACTATTTGTAATGTCTATGTATAATATCGTGTATACGTTGACGTCGAGTGAGAAGCAACAAGTTTGCCCAAAGTCCAATTTTGTTAGAGGAAGAAGAAGAAGGGAGGGAACGAAGTTTTGTTCTGTGCAGGAAGCGTAGTTCCGCTTGGTTCCGCGTAACGGTGACGGTGTGAACTCTTTTGGCCACGATGGACGGATTCAAGAGAAATATTTTTTGGCTAAGATCATGAAGATCTCTCATTGAATTATTTTCAAAATATATAAACGTTTAATAATAATTTCCCATTTACGTGTATAGTTACGTAATCAATCGTTATATACAAAATGTATACCTAATTATCGCATAGTAAATTGTACATACTTTCATTGTATTATATTTTGCGTTGTAGACTGAAAAGAAAAATAAAATGAAAAAAGAGAGAAAGGAAAAGGAAGAATGAGAAGAGAAATTATGTCTACAATTGTTAATAATAATATAATATTTAGAAAATAGTATTTAGGCAAACGTGATAAGGGACAAATTATATTATATTAATTCTGATTGATAGATCCATCTTTATCTGTTATAATGATGAAAAAAAAGATTCATATATATATATATATATATTTATAAAATTTTTTTAACAATATCTAATAAAAATTACTATGATAACTCTTAATCGTTATCGTGTTTAAATATATATACATATATATATATATGTACATATATATATGTTTGAAGTATTATCCACCGAGTTTGATGATTTAAATTCAGATACTTAAGATGGACTTAAAAGCCTATGTATTATAGTCGTGAAAAATGATTCCTAGTACATACAGACAGTTCGTAATTACAAATGTTCTTTAGATAACTTTACGCCGGCAGGATTAGCGGAATAGTTAATCAAGTATTACGGATAAAACGATAAGAGTTAATCACAAATCAAGTCAAGTCGACTTGTAAATCCAATCGCGGTCTTTCTCTTTTTGGAGATAGATATGTACGTGCTTTGTGGATCAAATAACGATGCCACTATAACATTATTATCATTATTATCGTCATTAACATTGAACGGTTACACCTATCGATATTACTGAAGATTACGAATGAAATGAGGAAGAAAAAGAATAAGACAAACAATAAATAAATAGATAAATAAACGAACGAACGAACGAACGAACGAACGAACGAACGAACAAACAAGCAAGCAAGCAAGCAAAATAAACAAATGGAGTGATTACGATTACCGAGATAATTTTATCGAATTCCGTATTGATGAACAGAAGAGGATTGAGGACAAATTCGGTGATAGGTACGAAGAAAATAAAAGAAGAGACTCGCGTCGGCCTGTGATATGATGATCGTCGTCGACGGGGGCGTCGCACGTCGCGGAGTGCTCTCAGGAAAGGGAAAAAAGAGGGGCCGTTTTCATGGGGCCTCTGTCTTTTTTCTCCCTTCCTTCTCTCTCTCACTTTCTCTCTCTCTCTTTCTCTCTCTCTCTCTTTCTCTCTCTCTTCATCGAGACTCACTGATATCGCGAGAAGTCCCCGTAGTGGGAGAAAAGTGAGAGAAAGAGATAGAAAGAAAGAGAGAGATGGATGGATGGATAGAAGGCCGATCTGAAAAGAGAGAGAAAGAAAGAGAGAGAGAGAGAGAGAGAGATGGAATAGTAAGAGGGAGGGAGAGGAAGATGGAGAGAGCGCGCGCGCGCGCGCGCTCGCTCACTCGCTCGCTCGCTCGCAAGAGAGAGAGAGAGAGAGAGAGAGAGAAAGACAAAGATAGATAGAGAGGGATAGAAAGAGACAGGTAAAGAGAGCCGCGTTTCGCCGTGGCACACGTTGGTATCGTACTAGAAAGAAACAGAGAGAGAGAGAGAGAGAGAGAGAGAGAGAGAGAGAGAGAGAGAGAGAGAGAGAGAAAGAAAGAGAGAGAAAGAGAGATAGAGAGAGAGAGAAAGGAAGAAGGACGGGCTTCAGGAGTTTGAGAGAGGCTCGCAAAGAGAGAGAGGGAGGAAGTCGATGTCGAGTGGAGGGAGGTCGGCGAAGCGGAGGTGAAGCGCGACCGGCCCTCTCTACTCCTGGGGCCCAGACTAGTCCAGTCCGGGACAGCACGCCTCCTGCTGCACGCTCCACGAGGTAGAACGACGAACGTAGTATTATAGATATACGAGGACGTAGGACGCTCGTGTGCGCGTACCAAATATTCGCGATACTAAAGAAAATTCTTCGGGCAATCGTTTTAATTTTCGATTTGCTCATTACCGATAAAGGATATAATATTCTCTGGTGTCAGTCGTGTATTCGATATAATTCAATTCGTTTGAATTTCGCGCGGGAATTTCAAATAGAACTTGATCGATCCGTTCAACCCCAAAAGCCGATATCCCTTCCTTTCATAAGAGTTCCTCCTTTTCGATTATTATTCTTCTTCTTCTTCTTCTTTCTTCTTCATCTTCTTCTTCTTACTCTTTTTCTTATTTTTATTCTTATTATCTTTAGTCTTCTTCTTATCTTTCCGTGGAAGGAGGTTACGAAATTTTCTCGACATTTATCTATTCCAACTTATCTTCCGTTGTCTATCAAGAGAAATAGAAAGAAAGATAGAGAGAGAGAGAGAGAGAGAGAGAGAAAAGAAAAAAGAAAGAAAAAGAGGGATCGACAGACACATAGAGAAAGATAGAAAGAGAGAGTGAGAGAGAGAGAGAGAGAGAGAGAGAAACAAGATTCGTACCAAAAGTGGTTACACCAAGAAGGATCCACGAAGTCCACGCGAGGCACGTTGCGACGGTGACTGAAGCACGTTTGGATCACGTCGATCGACACCCCGTCGTTTCCACGTCGATACGTCGTCTCTCTCCAACGGCCGCGACGACATCGACCACCAATCCGCCCTCCCCCCCTCCACCACCCTCAACAGAACCCACGCGTCCAGCCACGCGATCAGCCCGGGATCACCGATCCGGAAGGTTTCGCGCAACGGTGACCAACGAGCCGGACACTCTTAATGGACACCTGATCTACGCTGATTGACCACAACAACGAACGATCATCTCTATATCCTTATATTCATACCTCTTCACATCTTATAATTGAATATCTTAATATAATCCTATTACGTTATCTGAGAAAGGAGACAATGACAAGGATTTGGATATTTCGATGTTCATCATGATATCAAAGTTATGATATCGAGGCCGATTAAAAGCTGACCCTCGTTCGATTTCGAAGGAAGGAAATAATTCTTCTTTTTTTTTTTTTTTCCAAATTTTTCTTCTCTTCTCCTGTTCGTTTGTTTCTTTTCTCTTTTTCTATTTTTTTTTTTTTTTTTTTTTTTTCTTTCTTTCTTTCTTTCTTTTTTCATTTCTGTTCTCCGTCAATTTGTTTGTTCGTTGGTTCCGTTCGTATATATCTATATATATATATATATATATTTTCTTATTTTTTTTTTTCGTATTTATATAACGGGAGAATATCAAATAACGAATTCTGATAAGCGACTTCGATCATTATTTCATCAATTTCGATTTTTGATAATAAGCGTGTTTCGTTGTGCGGTTATGAGAGAGAGAGAGATAGAGAGAGATAATAGCACTGTGAGCTGTGCGACGGAAGACTGGAACGGTGAAGTGTTGCGCTCGGGGTGTTAAGTGAATACGACGAGCATCCAAACTACGAGAGAGAAAGAGAGAGAGACTTCAACGCACGCATAGAAGAGATAACGGTGAGGGATATAAGGGGAACAACACCGAAGGACACGACGTTAAGGGTTGGGAATCACGTTTACAGGTAAAAAGATTTGTATTTTTTCGATCTTTCTTCTTTCTCTCTTTTTTTATTTTTTTTTTTCTTTTCTTTTTTCTTTTTCTTCTTCATTCTTCCTACGAACTTGACTTTAATTTACGATTTTAGAACGTATCGATGTTATTTGTAAAATAATTTTCGCTTGTGAAAAAAGGAAAAAAAAAAAAAAAAAAGAAAAAAAATACGCGTTACAACAGAAATACGATTTGCCTTTTGAAATATTTTTTCCTCTCTTTTGGCCTTTTTTTCTTCTTTTATTTTTCTTTTTTTTTTTTTTTTTTCATTTCTGTTCTCCTTTCTTTCCTTCCAACGTCCAACGAAGTATCAAACATCAAGCTCTTCTCTTTTGGTTTGTCTAAGAGAAAACACGAGAATATTTAATCTGACCACCTAATGCCGTTATACTTGCAAGCATCGCGTGACACCGACGCGATAATTCGAAGCTGTCGTACCACTGACTCGCGACGTTCAATTATACTCATTAACTTCGCCTCTTTCCGAGTGACTCCGAGTTCTAATCTTGAAATAATGGGGATCCCGTTCGTGTTATTTCTTTCTCTCACGTGAGAATTTGAAAAAAAAAGAAAAAAAAAAAAAGAAAAAAAAATAAATTTATTTCTGCTTGACCCGACATATATACATATATATATATATATATATATAGAAAAAAAAAAAAAAAAAATCGTCGCAAAAAAAGTCTTGATCATTTGATTTTGACGTTTCATCAAGAAATTTGACAAATGACAGATAGTACATGTATAAATGTATCTGCTGATTGTTCGTATAAAGTATTTCGTTGGTTTCGATAAAAGAGCGAAAGATAAAAAAGAGAAAAGAAAAGGAGGAAGAAGAAGAAGAGGAAGAAGAAAATCAAACGGACAAAAAAAGAAAAGAAGTAAAGAAAACAAAAAAGAAGAAACGCAGATTCGGATAGAAAAGAAAAGAAAAGAAAAGAAACGGGCGTCAACCATAGATAAATCTCAAATAGAACAACGTTGTTTGCGTGCACGCAGGGGTTACGCACACGTGCTTACACAAGTATGACCGGACATACGTGTAATGTATCTATGTATATAGGTACGTAGACTTCGAGGCACATACTCTGTGTTTACATTCGCCAATTACAGATAGTCGGTCGTACGCAATAATGATAGATCCGCCGGCGTAGCTAATGACCGACGAGAGATCCACGCAAAAAGAGCCGGGAATGATCCTCGAACGAGAGAAACCCGTGGATCTTCTTCTTTACTTCTTTTTATTTATTTATTTTTTTTTTTCTTCGTCAGCTCTCTTTCCCGCCCTTCTATCCCCACATCTCTCTTTCTCTCTCTCTCTCTCTCTCTCTTTCCTTCAAATGCAAAAAGAAGAAGTATTTTAAAAAATTTATTTAGAAAAAAAAAAAGAAAGAAAAATGAAAAATATATTCGCGAGTGAATATAGGTGATTGAATTTTTTAAATGTCTATATATTAATATAAGTATGAATAAATTAGATTTAGATTATAGGTATAGATTATTAAAAGGAGGTATAATTTATATGTATATATATATATATATATACATAAAATTGTTAATAAAATTCTTTTTCTTTCTTATTTCTAATTTTACATTATTTTTAATTTTAACCATAAAAATTATCAATAAATAAAAGATACAAAAAAATAAATAAAAAATAAATAATTGTGATTGTCCTCCCTTTTCTCGTCTCGTTTCTCGATTCGATTTGATCCATGTCGTCGTTTCGTCGACGTGCAATAAAATGCCTTCATAGCCTTGCGCCACCCTTCATCTCTCTCTCTTTCTCTCTCTCTCCCCCTTATATATATATATATATATATATATATATATATATATATCGCATCGATTTAATATAATTACGGTAGAACGAACGATTATTATCGAGCAATTATTTCCCGCAGTTGTAAAGCGCGGATGCTGTTAGCTTGCTACCGCCGTCCGTACTTTCTCGTCTATTCTTGTTCCTCTCTTGATCTCTACCTCTTCACTCCTCCTTTCCTCCCCTCCCTCCTTCTATTCCTCTCTTTAGTATATGTACCTCCTCTCTCAGTACTCTCTCACACGACTCTCCCCCTCTTGGTATATTTCGTACGAGTTCGTTTCGCTCAAGTTTTCAAGGTTGACGTTTGCGCTCTATCTTTTTGTAACATCGTTGCACATACACACACACACACACACACATACACTCGACCTTCCTTCTTTCCTCTTCTAGATCGGATAATCTCTCGTTTGTATCCTTCGTTTTTCTTCTCAGGAGAGAAAGAGAGAGAGAGAGAGAGGAAGAGAGAGAGAGAGTGAGGAAGAGAGAGAGAGAGAGAGAGAGAGAGAGAGACTACTTTGAGAAAAAAAAAGTGAGAAAATGGACGCCCACGAAACCATAATCTTCGTTTTATATCAGCGTTTCTCAACTTCTTTTTTTTACAATGCACGGTTCGATAAGTTTGTTTTATTTGTCATTATTTACTATTACAAAGAGGTCCGAAAATTTTTCTAATATAATCTTATTGAAAACTTGATAGATTGAAATGATTGGTATATATGTGTATGTGTGTGCGCGTATGCGTATATACATACATATATATCGTTTTAAAGATATGTATGTTAAATGCGGTATTCACGCGAATCAACTCGCAAAAACCTATTACGAGGATTTTCTGGAAAATCTATTAGGAATGAATCACTTTTTTTTTTTTTTTTTAATTTTGACTCAAGTCAGCAAGCAAGTACTTTATTTTAATTCTAAGTAGATATTATTTAGCTATGAAAAAATAATTAAAAATTTAACGCGGCCGATAAGTCGTGATACGTTAATCTATATCTCGTGTAAATTGAAAATAATTGACTTCGATCGTTAACGTCTTCTAATTTACAATGTATAAATGTACTTACATACTTACGTATCTACGTGTATATATATATATATATATGTGTGTGTGTATGTGTGTGTATGTACGATTATATGCGTACGTAAATTTACACTTACGTATGTATGTAAATCGTAACACTGATGATTCTTCATTCTTTCTATTTTATTAATTCTTGTTATTTTTTTTTGTTTTTTTTTTTTTTCTATTACGCGCAAGTGTGTACGTTTTTCTTCTTCTTCCTCTTTTTTTTTTTTTTTTTTTTTTGTTCTTTTCCTTTATTTCTCAGGAAGAACGATGGCGTAAATTCGTGAGATCATCACGGAATACGATCATTATAATATCCATATTTCCGATCGACAACGCACAAGTCCCGCTGATATCTACAGAATGCAGATAAATAATAAACTCATATTTATGTATGTATGTATGTATGTGTATCTGACAAGTTGGATCGTCGACACGAAAACGACTTTCGGTTTTAGTTATCGTTTCATCGATGTATTCGAACGTTAAACGATCTACCTTTGATAAAGAATTTGGTCTTCGAACGATGTTAGTTTGGCCCTTTCGTGCCTTCTGATCACTTTTTCGAGGGAACGAAAGGGGGAAAGAAAGAAAGAAAGAAAGAAAGAAAGAAAGAAAGAAAGAAAGAAAAAAAGAGATAGTGAGAGAGGGAAATAAGAAATTCGTTTCTAATCGTCTCCTTTTAGAAAGCATCTGCCTTCTATAAAGGATATTCTCGCAATCCCCTTTTAACACATTTTTCCCGCCAAAGTTAACCCCACCTCCGTACGTACGTACGGACGTATGTACGTAGATACAAACTACGTTTAATCAAAAGGTAACAGTCTTTTTTCTCTTTAAGGGGCAGTTGTTGGGATCGTCAGCTGGTGATGATCGTTAAATGCTAAAAGTCTATTGTTTTCCTCTTTTCATTTTTCTTTTCTTTTCTTTCACTTTCATTTTTCACTTTCTTCTTTGTTTTTTTTTTTTTTTTGTAATTATCTAGTCTTGTTCTTTTTTTTCTTTTCTTTAATATCCTTTTTATAAAAAAAAAAAAAGAACGCAACGCGCTCGAGAAGAATCGACAGTTGTGCCACGAAAGGGATACAAATGGTAATCGTTAATCGTAATTTTCTATGAAAACAATAATAATCGACTGATTATTCGTCAATTCGTTTATTTTTTTTTTTTTTTCTTCCATTGATCGATTGATTGATTGATTGATTTATTTATGATTAATTTTCTTTTTCGTTTTTTCGAATTTAATTCTCATCTTAACGATACGCTAGAGATCTTCAAAAGAAGATTTTAAGATCACTAGGTCGTATTCTGGAAAGGGAGTGAGAAAAAAAAAGAGAGAGAGAGAGAGAGAGAGAGGTGGGGGAAGAGGGAGCAGGGAGGGGATGGAGGGAGGTTAAGAGAAAGAGAGAAGATAGAAAGATATTAGATTCGTATCGTAAATGTCACGAACGCGTACGACATTGATCATAAATATCGTACGTCATCCTAGCGCGGAAACTTCGGTCAATCATCAACACCGAACGTTAGATCGTCTTAGATTATCTCAGCTGGACATCAACGTAATTCCCGTGGCGACGTTTCACGTTGACGCTGTACGACTACCGTATGTATGAGTTATACCGATGCGAGAATTCTCTCAGTTGCTTTTTGATCGTTCTCGAAAATTTTCTCTCCCTCTCTCTCTCTCTCTCTCTCTCTCTCTTTCTCTCTCTCTTTCTCTACTCGTCTTTTCCGTTCTTTTGTTCTTTTTCTTAGATTTTTCTTTCCTTCAAAACAAAGAAAAAAAAAAAAAAAAAGAAAAAAGAAAAAAGAAAAGAAAAGAAAAAAACAAAGAAACAAAAACGAACAAAAATGAATAAAATCAATCGATTTTCGTTCTTCTTCTTCTTATTCGTCGTCGAACAAATTGACGACGACACTCAGACAAAATAAGTATTTACTTATGTATACATATGTATGTGTGTATGTATATATATACAAGTAAGTATATTGGTATGTATCTACATATGTATACGTTTCGCTAGACAGGAAGTCTAACCAGTTTAATGCCAGAAATCGGCCATTTTCCTTCAATCGT